TCGGTTATTTCGGTTCTAATCATTTCGATTTTCAGTTTAGGTTATTCGCTGACAGACCGTAATAAACGGAAGCTATTGCACAGGTACAATGTCGGGTGTCGCATTGCATGCGATCTCTGTGGTTGTCGGTCTGTTCTTCGTATTCTTTGGAACACTAAAACTTGCACCTATATTTTCTGAAGAACTCTACCGAAGCACGGTGAGTTTTCGTTGTAGACACTGTAGACGCATAAGTCCCACGGTAAATTAAACTTACTTAAAGTTATAAATATTCACTTATCCAGCGTTTTTGTAAAACGTTTTATTCTTAGGCTTATATTGGCAGACCATTTACCCATCGGTTTTCATCAACTCTCGTCTTGAATCTGTCTCTTGAAGTACAACAGCCTACCGGTAAATTTTTGCACATCAGTTTTCTCATAGTTCTTTCTTGGGAACTGTTTGGAAAGCACGGACGACCATAAACACCAATATTTCGCCTGTTCGTATGAAGTAGCGCAGATGCCTTGCACTGACGTCAATGTGGATCGCTACTTCGCAAAATTCATCACAACAAGATTGCACCTTGACGTAGTGTGATGGCTTGCGTTCCCCCATGACCCTGCGAGCTATACAGGGTGACTCCTTACAGCCGCAGACCCAATCATGCCTGGAAAGTCAATGGGTAGAGGCCAGACGAAGATCAGTCTCATAAGGCCAACTGCTGGCGCATCTGACTTCCTTTGACTCTCCACTCTCGCATCTGAAGAGGTCACTCCAGCTAAAAACACGAGGGGCAGTTTACCGTTAAAAATCCCGCTAAATAGACGTAAGAGCGAGGTACCTGGGGCTTCCTCCTGGACAGCCATCGCCCTCCGAAGTTGGGAGGCCCCCAGCCAATAAGGTGATGTCTCGTCCACGTTCCGCTTGTCTCATTAGGTACACGAGGCTAAGCGCCGATCCCGAAAAGCGTACCGATAATCAATGCACCAGCGAACAACACACTCAACTAAAACCCGAAGGCCTTGCGTGAAAGGTCTCCAGAAGCTCCCACAAAGGTGATTCGTTCACGCTCCCGCGTTGGATCTATGCCCTACTGCCTTGTGAATCAGACTTTTAGTCAGGCTCCGGTTAGGGTTCCCAAAGAAAAGCCATTTCGTCGGTGTGAGCTACCACGAAGTATGCCGTGCCCCAAAGTCCCATTTGGAAGACCATCTTTCTCATCTGTCCACTTCCTCTTCGCACTCCAAAACCTTAATGTGCATTCCGTTTGCACCACCTATCGGATATCGTTCAACGTTCAGTTGATGAGGTCAACCACTCAGAGGCTATCACTTAACCGCATTTAATTTTTTTATTACATACAACGGACGGGGTAAACCCCATAGTTACGAGGGCCTGCTGTTCAGTGATGGAAACCGGTAATCTAAGCCCCGGAATCGGAACTTAGAGTGGTGAACCACATAAGGCCCCGATCGGTTAGGCTTGGTATTGAACCGGACGACAGATACTACCAGATGAGCAACAAGCTGCCTTAGCAAGAACCCTCGAAACCTTCCATTTAGATATATTCTATGTCTCCGAAACACAAATACAAGACCCTACTTCAACTATCACC